GAACAAATGTACACATGTAAATACACACATATATGTACGTCTATGTATTGTCCATATACCTACATATATCTATATACACATCACCATATACATGTATATGTATATATATGTACACGTATGTATGCATGTATGTATGTATATGCACATACACAGAGAGTTCTACAAAGACCGGTCCTCTTGCGCCTTTTTTCCTCGCCTTCCGAAAGCGAGTCAAAGAAGCTCCTGGGCAAACCTCAAAGAGGCGGCCCACGGCTTGTACGAGCCAACAAAGCCGCAATGCTTTTTGGGGTTGACTTACCTTTGGTTAGAAGGAAACTATAAGGGTTACTATAAGGGATCTATAAGGGTACTAAAAAATAGGGGGCTTGATAATCTTACCTCTGGTTAGTAGGGAATGGAGGAATGGGGTAGAATTATAACTACTATTACTACCATTCTTCCACTCCCTACTAACCAAAGGTAAGTTGAAAGGGGGTTTGGGGTTTAGGGTAAAATCTGAGGGTAGAATGAATCTGGGCTTGGCCAAAACCAGCCAAAGCTCCAGACAAAACTGCAAAACTCTGCTTTCAGCACAGGCAAGCTTGACTAGGTGGCTAGGATCAGATGCACGCGAAGACGAAAGAACAAAAGCTCCGCCTATCCGTGCAGGAACACATCGGAGCAGTCCACCCATGTCCAGCCATTCAAGCTCCAGAGGAGCTCAGTCACAAAACCTCCAAGCTCAACCAAGGTCCGCAGAGATGGGTGTGTTCCAAATATTGCTTTGAAGCTTCCTGCTATACTGCAATAGGTCTGCAATGAAAGAGACTCCGATTCAGAACACGCCCGGCTCTCTGGTGCATCTCCAGCCATCTCCGGCTGCTCTTTAGCCATGCTTCAGAAGCAGCCATCACTTCCGCCGGACACCCTTTGCATCGCAGGAGGAACGCCGCAACTCCAGAGGCTCCAATACATTGCCCAAGTAAGGGACTCTCTATCGATGAAACCGCACATCGTCCACAACAAGTATGTAGATGTATGAGTTGTGTAAAACATGAACATGAATGTATACAGAAAAGCAGTGCGGGAGTGTCTGCATGTATAGGTATATACCGACGTGGTGTTTCACGTGCTCGTCTCTGCCTGGCTGTACCTGTCTAACCAACTAACTAACTGCCTCACTAGTTAGCTAGCCACCTAGCCAATGAACCAACCACCTAGCTAGCTTACTGTCCTAAACTAAGTCCTAACCTTTAGACTAAAACAAACCAAGCCAAACAAATGACTTAATAACTGATCCACACAGTTACAGACTCACTTACAAGCTTGCTATATTGAACAAACAAACAAACAGACAAACAAACAACCAAACAGACAGACAGACAGACAGACAAAAATACAAACAGACAAATAGACCAAGAGAAACAAAAAAAAACACTATCCGTCTGCCTGTCTGTCTGTGTTTCTATCATCTACCTAGATCTACCTGACCTTTCCATCTAGCTATCTATATCACTATCGTTCTTGCTTCCGAAATCCATTCTAGTCCACCCGCGTAGGTGTACATGTGCACAGTCACATATGTTGTATAATGTACGTGCGTTTGCCTGCGAGGATCAGGTTATGAATTTGACGCACGTGCAAGCACATGTCATGTAATATGCACAAGCTTGTGTATACTGCATGCAGGTGGACTGCGGAATGTGCACGTGCCGCGCACCTGAGTGCAAAACCGCACTTGTTTCAATACAGTGTATACAAAAACCCGCGCCCGCACGTGAATAAACACAACTTGACTTTGACGCTTTGCTTAGCACAAACAAACACACGCACGCACGCATCAAACTGCATGAACACTCCTCTAGACCCGTATACATCGATGTAAGTACATCACCTGTCCTCCCAATCACACCTGTGCATGTGGCTGCGTACATACATGTGTGTACAGACGTGTACGTTCGCGAATGCAGGTCTGGACACGGAATTCATGCATGCCATAACCAAAAGAATCATAATCATGACTGTATTGACAATAACAATAGCACTCATCACCATGACATCCATAAATAAGGACAGTAAGGATAGCACTAAAAACTCGAGGACCTCGTGGAGCCTCGGAGTGTCAGCCATGCCATCGCCACCTTTCCATTAGCGTCAGCCGCGGCGCATGGGCCGCACGAGCCGCGGTGGCCGGTAGTCGAAACCTGACCCAAGCAGGTGTTGTCGGCATAGTCTATGGCCTAGGAATTCCGTCGTTGTATGATGATGATTCGCCGTAGTATTATTTTGATGGCTGTTGTCAGCTTCACTTGCTCTTGCCATTTATATCGCTAATATACTCTTTCCATTGAAGAAAGCATGCCAGCAACGTCAAGCTCAAGGCTCGGGTTGAGGCTTGGGCTAGAACCCCAAAAGCCCCGAGTCAGGAAAGCCCGAAACCCTCACAGCCCCAAAACCATCAAACCATCCCACCCCCCAAAGCTCAGGGTGAGGCCCAAAAGGACCCTAAACCCTAAACCCCCAAGAAATCCGCCCTAAAAAGCTCAGCTTAAGGGCTTGGATTGCGGTTCATCTTCTCCCGGCTGCTTCGGATCATCTCGGCTCTCTCGCGCTCCTCGCGGCTTGCCTGCATCTTGTGCACCTGCTCTCGAAGGGTCGAAGGGTTTAAGGGTCTAGGGATTTTGGGGGTTTGAGGGTGAGTTTAGGGACTTTGGAATGGTTCAAAAGTCTTGGGTCTTGGGTTTTGTGGTTTAGGAGTGCGGGTTTAGCCATATAGAATTTAGGATTTGGGGGCTTCGGGGCTTCGGGCTTGGGGTTTCGGCTTGAGGGTTCAAGGCTTAAGCCTGGGTCGCGGCCTTCTCGGGTATCGTCTCCGTTGGCGCTGCTTCAAGACTTCCGCCGCAGCCCATGACTACAGCGGACAGCTTGCCCTGAAACCCGAAGGGCCCTACACTGTACAGGGGCTGAGCCTGAGCCGATGTTGTGTCAAGGCAGGTTTTGACTTTCAAGCGCAAACAGCGCAAACACAGGAAAAGAGTCATGAAGCCAGAACGGTTCAAGGTGCAAGCCTCAATGTTTCTGAAATGTCTTACATAGTCGTAGCAGTTGCATACCTGTGCAGTTGTACGACAGAAGAAAACAGCAATAACAGCAAAAATGCCTTGGCCACTCATACCCCTCTGAGACGTTTTCGCCGTTTGACCGCACATGGAAACCGTTCCCAGAGCGGCTCCAGAATCTCAGGTTCAGTTTGGGGATATCTCTCAGAACTCCTACGTATGGGCTCCCTGTAAGAATTCTTTTTGAAGCCTCGGGCCTTCAGCCAAGGTCAAGCCTCGGCGCCCGGTTCCTTCACTCAAGTCTAAACGACAAGTATCATCAGACCCCCTCGCCCTCACCCCGAACGCCCGAGCGAGCCTGGCAGATCCGAAATAAGCCTCACCTGAGCAGGGTCCAGGCGGCTTCTGCGCTTCAGCATACATCGCAAGCCAGAGAAGCCCATCTTCAAAGCAGACCGGCAGTCGGCAACTTACCAAAGCTCGCAACATCTCTTTTCGGGACTTCATCCGCTCTTCTGCTGTGGAGTGGCGAACTGTACTGAGCGCACTCAGGCCGTGGCGGAGCGGAGCCGCGAGATCGACTCACGACCCACGGCCTGATAATCAAGCTCCAATCTTCAGAGAACACCCCCCGGATCCGCCTTCAGACCCCGCTCACCCCGTCCCCCTCACTCCACAACACCAGGAAAGCCTTTCAGCTCCAGGCACAAGTGCCCAAGTCTGCCCAACTACTACCCTTGGAAGCATCGTGTGGGAAGAGGGTGTGGCTGGGCCTCAAGCCAACAATCGACCCATCCCGCACGTCCAGAAAACTGCCAGAAAAGCCTAAAAGAGCTACGAACACCTGAAGAGTGTGGACAAGATGCTTGCAACTTGTAGAGACATATTTGGGAGTTTCCGAAATTAGTGGACCCTAAAAAGTACCTGAATAGTAGGACCCCAAACTAAGGTACCTCCATTTTCGGAAACTCCCGTATCCGATGAGGCCCGCCTCCGGCGCCCAGGAGTCGCCGAGCAACGGCCTGGGAGGGCTCGGATACAGCCTTGATTGGGGACGCTAGACATCTCCTGAAGAAATCTGGGTTATTCTTAAAGGATCTAATTTATTCTATCATGACAAAGAAATCAAATTATGCACTATGTAGATCCCTATTATGGCAACTTAACTTAAACTCCTTAAACAAGAACTCAGAACTCAGAATTTCCTTGGTTCTTCCTTCAGCTTCGGGCAGGATCTTGGTCTCAGGATCTTGGGCTCTCTGGGAGTTGCGGGGCTTCCGAGTTCGGCGATCGCAGCGCAAGCGAAGCGGCTACACCTCGCCTTTGCCTGAGACCTCCAGCGTCACGGTAAAGGGATCTTCTGCCAAAAAGCAGAGCACGGTCCCCGAGCTTGCGGCCTGCGTGCGAAGGCTCCGGGGCGGCACGAGATTCGATGACCTGGGCACACGGCACAATTTACAGCAGCACAAACCGTCCGGCCCCCGAATCATCAAAATCCACATAAAGCGCCGTCAACCACGCTGAGTTCGAAACTTAGCACGCGCACACACAGTGATGTTACAGCAGCGATGCAGGTCGGTACGCAAAGAAGGCGACTCAGCCGCCGGTCTATGAAAGAGCCGCCGGTCTATAAAAGAGCTCAGGACAGTTCTTGCTTCATGGAGAATGTAGATTCAATGGGCTTCACGGGGGGAAAAAACCGTGTCCCTTAAGGCACGTGGAATAAAAACCCCCCCTCGGCAGCGCAGGATACGGGAAAGAGCTCACCTTCCGCGCATTTCCGCGCTATCTGGATTTTTGTCGTCATCGACGCGGTGAACCCTTGAAAGAAGCATGCAGCGAGCTTTGCTAGCACCGATCAGGAAGGAGAAGAGAAAATCCAAAGATCAGCAACGTGAAGCTAGACGCCGCGGCACGAAGCTAAATTACGTGGGCAGCATGCGCGATGCAGGTGATCTTTCATTAGGAGAGCCGAAGCTTCGGCGGTGATGCAGCACCACACAGCGAACGAAGTCGCTCGGCGAGCTCTGCGTGGCCGCGCTCCTCTGCTTCTGCAGCCGCTTTCTGCAGCTGCTCCGGCGCCAACATGGCAGCTCTCAGCAGGAGCTCCACGCAAGATGCGTGGCCAAAGTGTGCTGCCACCAGCAGCGGGAAAGTGCCGTTCCGCGAATTCACCTGACAAGCCTCGGCTCCCGCTTTCAGGAGCAGCTCCACGCAAGAGGCATGGCCATTCTCTGCTGCCATCAGCAGCGGGAAAGTGCCGCTCCGCGAATCCACCTGTGCAGCCTTGGCTCCCCCTTTCAGGAGCAGCTCCACGCAAGAGGCATGCCCAATCTGTGCTGCCATCAGCAGGGGGAAAGCGCCGCTCTGCGAATACACCTGACAAGCCTCGGCTCCTGCTTTCAGGAGCAGCTCCACGCAAGAGGCATGGCCATTCTGTGCTGCCATCAGCAGGGGGAAAGCGCCGCTCTGCGAATTCACCTGTGCAGCATCGGCTCCCGCTTTCAGCAGAAGCTCCATGCAAGAGGCGTGGCCATGCTGTGCTGCCATCAGCAGCGGGAAACCGCCGACCTGCGGATCCACCTGTGCAGCCTCGGCTCCCGCTTTCAGGAGCAGCTCCACGCAAGACGCATGCCCATCCTGGGCTGCCATCAGCAGCGGGAAAATGCCCCTCTGCGAATTCACCTGACAAGCCTCGGCTCCCGCTTTCAGGAGCAGCTCCACGCAAGATGCATGCCCAAGTTGTGCTGCCAGCAGCAGCGAAAAGAACCCGTTCTGCGGATGGATCGCATTGGCGTCGGCTTTGGCGACCAGCAAAACTTCCACGCAGGAGGCCTGGCCCTCAAATGCGGCAAGTCGCAGCGCGTCGGCAGCGGCCTCGGACTCGGCGGAAAAAACCTCGCGGAGCAGCACCTGCAGAGCGCGGGCCGCTCCGGATTCGGCTGCGATTAGGAAGGACCCGAGGCCGTTCACCTAAACTGCTCGGAGCTCGGCCAGCGGGCAGCCGGGCTCCGCGGCCTCGCCCTGCAGAAAGAATCGAATTCCTGCGGGGAGCTCCCGGAGGCCTTGGGCTCCCGGGCCCTCCTCCAGGCGGGGGTGCTTGCTAATTAGGTCAGCCACCCGCTCCTGGAAGGCGGCCGGAACGTTGTCCAGCTCGACGCTGAGAAGCTGGCGATTGGCGAAGAGCTCTGCGATAGCATTTTCGACATCTACACTCTTATCAGTCCCCGCAAACTTCTCCAAGAAAGCCGCTTCCATGCGCAAGCGGCGCAGGGTCACGGACTCCCGTGCTGCGAGGCAGAGGGAGGTGAAACCGTCCAGGGACAGCTCCTCAGCTCCATACATTCCGCCGGCAGCGGGACAAGGAACCCTCGAAAACGAAAAAAGCACGAGTATACTCCAGATTCCAGACCGCATCGCGTCGTGTTGAAGCCGCGATGCTGACAAGTCCTGCGAGATCTCCACGTTGGCTCGCTGACGAAGCTCCTGGAGTTCTCTTCTAGCAGCATCTCAACAGATCGAGAGTTTCACTTCCGGCATCCTGGAGGAGGTGCGAAGGCGCCAGGCCTCGCGGCCGAAACGGTCACAGGGGACATGCAGACCCCATCGATGCTCGCCGATGCTCGCCACGAGGCCCGGCCTCCGCCACCAACAAGCATGGCTTGGAAGAACTCCCATTTGCTGCCGTGGGTCTGCAATCTGGCGAAGCCTGCAACGGAGCGGCAGACGCGTCTCCGTTACATGTGATGGGCTGCTACGTTACGCAGGTCTCCACGCACTTCAGGCGAGGGGCTCGAGAGCTTCGTCAAGCCGTTCACGGATGCCCGGGCGCTAGAGGCTAGGCTCACCTCACAGATTCGTGCGAACCGCATCGCTTCGGTCGAGGTCTCTCGGCAACAGATCACAGCATTCCAAAAACTGGCAGACCCCAAAGGGAGTCGCGAAGGAAGTGGACGTGATGGAAATGTCAGGTCATGCGAGATGATTCGCCACACTTCCACAGTCCACAGGCACAAGCCTTGTAACGGACATGTGTACAGGAGACTCAGAGGCTCCTGCAATCGGGCAAGCTTATGACTTATGAGACCCAGCCCAGAGATCGCCATTTCTCGAGGGAACAAGGCTAGCCTCCACCCCTTCCTTCTACTGAACACTTCTTCGAGCGATGTGGAAGTCTTCAGGTCGCAACATGCTACGCTCCCACTGTTGCGGCCGAGGGGCGGCCAGCAGCACCGGATTCACGGAGGTGTTCTCCAAGGCCGGGAACACGTTGAAGAAGTTCTCCTTGGACAAATGTGGGTCCAGGTGGAGCTGAAGATGCCCGAAAAGTCTGAGGTCACGCGAAGTGCCGCAGCCCCGGCACCTGGCGGAAGAAGATGTAGCCTTGCAGCGCGGTCTGCAGGTTGGCCTCAAGGAAAACCTTGGCGTCTCCCCGCGCGCGCTGCTACCCGCCCAACCCCTTCGCTGCGCTCCGTCGGTGCCGAGGCCATGGCTTCCAGAAGCTGCCGCAGGGTCCAATAGTGGAACAGCCTGGAAGCAGATCTCAAAAACATCCCATCCCGCGGCAAGATCTGCCTGTAAAGCTCAACAACAACGTGTGTGTGTGTGTGTGTGGGTGTGTGTGGGTGTGTGCTGTGTGTGTGTGTGTTGTGTGTGTGTGTGTGTGGGTGTGTGTGTGGGTGCGCGTGTGCGTGGGTGTGTGTGTGTGTGTGTGTTGGTGTGTGTGTGTGTGTGTGTTGGTGTGTGTGTGTGTGTGTGTGTTGGTGTGTGTGTGTGTGTGTGTGTGTGTGTGTGTGTGTGTT